TACGTGTAAATGTTTTTCATAAATGAGATTTGTTTTGATTCACCTTACGTAAATACGTACGCTCGGGGGTATGCTACTCTTGAACCTCTAGAAGATTTACTGATGAATTTCTTCTCTAATAGTTAGATGTGTTTAAGTTTTATTATGAACCGTCAACCGTCTTGACATGCTGCCATTCAGAGTGGTAAACAGATGCTTGCCAATGAACTGAAAACAAGACGGTTTTTTCCTCATCGCAAGTTCTGCAGACTATCCCTGCATATGGATGAAGAATTGGGTACAACTGGACACTTTTTAATGTTGCTCACTGCCAAGTAAGAGGTTCTGGTATCCAGTTCTGATACCTTTAGATGACCTTTACCAAAAAGTAGCTTATTCAGACTTCTGTTGTTCGAAATTACCTATCAGTGATAGGGTTCAATAAGATCAGCTCAGTGAGAAATGTTTCCAGGGCTAGAAAACACTATTAAATTCAAGGGTGGATATAAATAAATTATCTACCTGCATAGAGGCCCAGGAACTGCTTTGGAGGTGTCAAAAAGCTCAAAGGAGGATGGAAGCGAAAATTTGTTTACAATCAAACAAGAGCCAGTGCACTGAGCGACGCGAAGGGAGCTTTTGACACGTACAAATTCAAATAATTGACAAGACAGCGGCAAGACTGCTTTCAATCAGCAGAAAGCACTGCACACTATTTTCTGTAATTTGTTCAAAGCACTTCGTCCTGTGAAACTCTTTCGCTGCTGCTTACCATAAGCAACTTTGAAACCAGGAATTATTTGCTCGTGATGTATGATAATGACAGACTGAAGCAGAAGCTTTCTAGTTCATATAACAGTTCAGAAAAACGTGAAATAGGTTGTCTATCAGCACTTATGACATTATATGTCACTCATTCTGCATGAATCAGTAAGTGTATCTTTGAGGCCTAGTTGCGATGTAGCACAGTGCTTTTAGTAACGCATGATGATATTTTCTTACGTGAACTGTTATAAAATGTACGTTATTTGAATGTTATATGGTTATACCGTGGAAGTATAGGAAAGTGTTGCATGATGAAATACGTTGGGTCCATTGATACAGAAGAATTAAAAGTTTTCATACAATGAACCAGAGGTGACGTTTAACTGGATCTCTAAGACCAAGAAGACGTGGTAAAGGAATACGTTCATCATAATCACCTCTTCACAGCATGTATTTCATAATCCCTGCAATATCTAATGTCTAAAGCAGTTTAGAAAATCGAAATAGTCTTTGACAATCGGGTTCAAGCTTCTATATTATCAACAGGTTATCGGTAGTTTGTACTGTTATATTGAAAGTTTCCTATCTTTTTCATAGAGCAGTTATCAGTTATTATTGAAACAATCAAGTGTAGGAATACCAAATATCTCGAACACATTTTCCATGCGAGTTTAACACTCTGCCACACAAAATTTTCCTACAAGGTTCACAAGTCTGGTTAATATCACTCAACATCGCTGTCCTTAAGCCTATTTATGTTATTCATTCTGTTCCTCCTCTGGGCACTTGTTCCCAGGGTAAGCTTTCAGTGGGTTCATATACACGCAAGTGATCCCTTGTCAAATCGAGTAGGGCGCGTCGTGTACCTACTTACAGTGTTACCTGAAACGTGACTATTTCCTTTTGCTGCTGTACTGCATTGATTTATAACCATAATGTTTTTATATTCATGACCCAATTAAAAAAGGCAATAATGAAACCTGTATTTAAATCTGGAGATAAACAGAAACCTTGTAATTATCGCCCAATTTCAGTAGTGACAAACTTTTCAAAAATTTTGGAAAAAATTCTTAAAAAACGCTTTTCAGATTTTATTGCAAAATACAACCTCATATCTGAAGAAGCACAATCAAGTCAAGATGCACTTATTCAGTTAACAACCAAAATTTCCAAGTACGTTGATAATAATAAGTCAACAGCATGCCAAACAAAGATTGGACTTCTTTAAAAAACAAAATTGTATTAGATTTTCAAAAGGTTACAAATTTTTTCACGGTCAATTTCAGCAAAACATACTTTATTACATTTTCTTGCGACAACAGATCTTCCCCAAATTTTAATCAACTTCAAATTAAAACGTTGTATAGCTGTAGAAACATACAATCGGTTGATAATTTCAAATACCTATGGGTATTCATAGATAACGATCTAAGATGGAATAAACATATTGAAAATTTAGTAAGAAAATTATGATACCTTATTCCGAAAGTCAAATATTTCAGCAGTTTTTTTAAGCGAAAAATATTTACACGTGATATATCAGGCCCTTGTTCAATCATTAATACTTTCCGGAATCTTAGCATGGGGGGAGCCATGAATAATTATTATAAAAAGATTGAAATTACGCAGAAGTGGATTTTGAAAGTTATGTTAAACAAAAAGAAATGTTATCCCTCAGAAAATCTTTACAATGAATCTCAGCTTTCCGACTGCCGGTAAATTTATTTTTATCATACAATAATATATTCAACAAACATTCCAAAATTTTACTTTTTATCAACCACAACCATCAAGCACGATTAAAGAAAACATCTGCACTAATTCCTAGACTTAATAAAAATCAGCCAAAGATCATTCCATTTTTTATACTCAAAATTTTATAATGTTATTCCTGTAAACCTTAAACATATAAAATGTATAAAACGTTTAAAAATTGAATTAAAATCATGAATCCTAAATCAGCCAAGGCTACAAATCCATAAGTTTGTTGACACTAAAAACCTATATGTTATTTGATCATAAAATAATGCAAATTTATACATTTGACTAGTATACTTACAGAAAATTTGTTGTATTAATATAACTCAACTTCGGTTAAAACCCAAGCACAAGCGTACACTTTTTTGGGTATATTATGTTTATTAGACATTGCCGTTATTATTTATACGAAAACTTTGTAACTGGACCAATAAACATTATTATTATTATTATGAATGGTGTAAGCCATATTTATAAAGATGCTTTGATCATATATCTATATTTCCATTAAAAGCGAACGAGCTCAATAATTGCCGATAAGGATAGAAAAATTAACCGGCTCATACAGGGGTGACGCCTCCAGTCTTTGGGGGTTGTTATGGGACATTCGGAGCCCGACTGTTGGGCTCAGGTTGTTATGTTAATTTCTCCTCGATTTCCTCTATCAAGGGAACGACAGGACGACAGGACATCGTACTATCTTTTCTTAGCATTCGCTGGAGTCTAATGTATCTCATGGCAGGATGTGTATAGGAATTTTTACTTTAAAGCGGTCATGTTGCTAGGTTATCTCTGAATCACACCTTTGGGTGATATCGTGGATCCTGGACTGCTTTTCGTAATAATCGTAAGATTCATACAGTATATCTGTTCATACACCTGGCTACCAACTTAGGCCGCTGTGTGCTTGAATCCTATGTTGAACACTTAGGCTGCTGCTTGCTTAAATCCCGAGTGAAGGGATGTGTGCTTGGAGGACGGTCTGTCCCAAGGACTGTGTGTCCTAGGGGGCTGTGTGCCCCCGCCCCCCGTTCCTACCATCCGCGGTATAAATATATTCATAAATAAGTCATGATGAATTTGTACCACTGCGGTCCTAAGGTTGTAGAGTTGAGCATGCTAACAGTCGGTTCAATATGGGAGGTACTCATATTATTTTTCTGCGACAATTTGATCGTATCGCCCTTATCGCTTGTCAAAGGAGGATAACTCGTGTCTTTCCACCAAATAAGTGGCCTTAATATGATCCTGACATTGTTGCTCACATCGAGTTGTTGACATACTGCCCTTGTACTAAACATGAAATGGTAAAGGGTGTTAATCCGAAACTTTCTAAGGGGGGTTTGTTGTTTTCACGTTGATTATACAAAGTAGCTATATTATATCCCGGGGGTATTTCTAGGATGGATTATCTGCCATCATAAATTGATAAAGTGGCGATACGATCAAGCGGAGTATGTATTCTCCGGAATGGATTCTGGTATTAATATGACAACTGCCCAGGCACAAAGAGAGTCATCTTCCTGTTCACATACCCTACACAAGAATGTATCGCTAATTTTCATATTAGAGGGATGCTTCTTTAGTTGAAAGTGTTGAGAAGCTGTTGATTGAAAAAAGGCAGGTATATTTCCCTGGGTGTCACGATGCTTTTGAAAACTCTGTGGGTTAGCCTTCCCATGTAGTTCTTATGAGTGAAATGAAGTGACTGTTTTAGCAGCCCTTTTTGCTAAATTTCAGTGATTGAAAGAATCCACTATATATATTTTGTACATATTGACATCAATCTTACTACGAAACAGCATCATATTGAAATCTTGTAACTACGATATGAATAATGTGTATCCATAGAACCCTAGCAGCTCATACAGAGGCATCCACAGTATACTTTATAACCAACCCTCTCATTTTGTTTCTTAGATCCGACAGAAAAATTGCATAGGGTCGATCAAGGATGAACTTTGGAGGAATGCTGTCTATGTCAGGCAGCAACGGTAAGTCAATTGTCGGCAATTTATTAATACCATGTTCTGAAAAATATTCCAAATTGTTGCCCAAGAGTAAGAGTAGTAACTTGCCGAAAATTACTGCTCTGTTAAATACAATAAACCTTAGACCAAAGGCTTTGGACGTATTATAGTGTATAACACCTTTATACGTATCTAGCTTAGAACAAAACAGAAGCAGCATGTATGTACTATCAGAGGATTAAAAAAATAACATAACATATGAAGGTTAAAAACTAACGTAAATTATAATGGATAAAAAAGAGTTTAAAAGATAAACATCCGATTTTCCGGGTCAAAAACATAGAAGGCAATTCACTCTATAAACATTTATTATAAGCTAGTATTTACAGGATGCGGTTAAAATACTACTCCAAAACAAAGAACAACGTCAGTCACTTCCTTTCTTCATACCACATAATTATGAATGAACGTGACATTCCAATCTAATGTATCTTATGAATGACAGCAATCGCAGACGGTAGTACTAACCTCAAGGAAGTCATAAATATCCAAAGAACGACTTGGCACCGGCACAGCTTTGATGAAGTACCGCATGATATTCACTAGCAAGACATCCTGCACACCACCTGTGTTACATAACCGTACACTCAACAGTTTGGAAAACAAAAACGCATCAGGTAGTACTGGTAGCACCGTGAGACGAATCCGCGAGTATCGCGTATGCGCCGAAAGACTTCGGATATTCTACTGCGATGTTGACTGGGCGGTACGACTGGATGCGAGCACTTACCTTGACAGCTGCATGACCGCGACGTTGCCAAGTGTGCGAAGGTAGCAGAATTAGGGAAATGATAATATGGTTTTTATTGAAGCTGCTGACATGGTTTGGTCCGTTAAGGCGGATAACTTGAGTTGCTAACAGCAACTTTTTGTAAATTCCTTCACATTCCCGATACGCTATAGAATTAGAGATCTAAAGAATATTGCTTGTATATTATATATTTTCCGAATCCTTTCTATCGTTTGCTGTGAGGATAGCTCCTTTCAATTTCCAATAACAAACTTTTGCTACTATTTTCTGTCATTCTTCTTTTTTCTCCACCCCACGTCAAACTTGGTGTTTCTCTTCCTCGCTTAGGTTTTATATGCGCCTATATCTTCTTAGTCTGTCTTCGCTCATCCATTCTGTTGACATAATCAAATCGACGTAACTGATTTTTAAATTTTTGTTGCTGGAACCACCTTCAGCTCTTTTCTTATGTCCTCATTCCTGAGATGATCCAGCCTTGTTACTCCCAACGCCCTTCCTTATTATCCTTTATTATTCTTTAATTCGTTTATATTTCTGTTACTCTTTTCCCTCTGGCTTGCTATGCTTGTAAATAATATAATTCCATAAATATCCTGTAATTGTCTTTTGTTGCGTGTGAAAGGTTTTTGTTACGTTTCGTCCATTGTGGTTCAGTGGAAGAGAAGCCATCAAACCAAACTGCGCCATGATGTGTGTGATAGAATTTATCCTTGGGATGACTGATTTTTGCACTTTCGTAATGACCTTCATTGCGTCTAGCTGTAGTCTTGTGAGGCTCGATTTCGGATTATTATTATTATTATTATTATTATTACTATTATTATTATTATTGGAATCAACTACCTATATGGGGTTCGACCTAGCTAGAATAAGAAGCAAAAGCCTAGCGAGTTAGATTAGCGCATCTAGAAACCCGCGCCAACGAAAAAAGCTCATATCGGTAAGAGAAAGACAAGGCACCGACCTCCCGACGCCTCTTAAGCAAGTGGTACCGACCATTTGGATTGCCCATATCTGAACCTTAGTACAGGGTAAGGAGGATAGATCGTGGAAAGCACTTCTCGGCTATAATAGCTACTGCACAATTTTAAGACTCCTTTTCCCAATGAAAATAAGTATTTTGCTTCAACCGCCAGCGCATGATCTTCAAGAAATGCAGATCAGCAAAACGTTATAAGCATTAGAGATCTAAGTAGTCGTACCCTTAAGCTTGGCAACACTGTATATATAGTGCGGCGTTACGTTGTGCAGTACGACTGCCGTGTTCAAGATCTCATCGGGATTGCAGCGAGGACTACCTCAACAAGAAAAAAACAAAAAACTGGTAATGCTGTATCTAGCTAATGATAGTGGCCATAATGAAGGTTCTACCTGACACGCGATTATACTGGGATTAGTGCCCAGCAGAACGGTTGTGATAAATCGAGAAGACTACAAGTACCATGTTAAATGTTAAGTCAAAAAGCTTTTTTCAAAAAATCATGATTTGTTAGAATTATTGTAGCAGTTTTGCCTTTTCCAACAATACGCTTTCGTTTGACATTCCTGACAATACAAATATGTAGTGTACCTCTATCGAAAATAAGACATGGGCATTTTAACAAGAAGTTAAGTTTAAGTTCCGAAAATTAGTAAGCCCATAAAGAAGAACAAACGTACTCGTCGTATAATAGTTTTAAGAACGTTTCTAAATTCCAATTTTATGCAGGTTTGAACTCAATAATCCAGAGAGCGATAATCCGGATATTTTGACACTCCGGACGGAATCCAAGCTTGAGTTATGTACTTTGTGATCCTGATCGCATAATTCGATAATCCGGATTTGCGATCGTTACATATCAGATTAACAAAGCTAATAAAGAAGTTGATATCCAGGCGAAAAAATCAAGCACGAAGATGCAATAAAATATTTTTCAATGGGGTTGCAGTGGGCTGAATTTAATATTCTTGACATTGAAGATATACTTGCACTAAAAAACATACTATAGTTAAGCATGCTTCAATCGTTGCACTTAAGGAACAAAGTAAAATATTTGACTATTTTAAATAATGCAGAATATCCGTATAGAATACTACATATGTTTTTAGGTACATGTAGTATGCAGTTTAGTTATGATCATTGCTACTACCTCCATTTTATGATTGTTAGATTTTGAGAATAAAGTTTATTTATTTTAACCATTCCACTAGTTTATTAACAGTTTTCTATAATGTACCTACATAAAAAAAACACCCGATAATCCGGATTTTTAACTAATCCGGATTATCGAGTCTCAACTGTATTTCTTTTAGTGGCTATAACGCTTTTGTATATTTCTCCTTATTCCTGAATATTTTGGAGTTTGTTTTAGAGCCCTTTCGAGAAGCACGGTATTGAATGCGCTCAGAATATATACGGAAATATTTTTCTTGAAATTTGTGTCTACCTCGATGTTACAACAGATCAAAGTTTCATTCAAACAAAAGCGTTCGATCAGTTGTGGCACGCTGTCTTCTTACGAAAACTTCCATTAAATCGCCATTCAGAGAAGCTTTGCAGATGCATATGGCTGATTTCCTCTCTAGTCGCCAGGTATCCATCGTAATTGACGGGTTCTCCTCTTCACGAGTCTTGGCTCCGAGATTGTTCCTCTTGCATATCAACGTTCTCAGTTCCTGTGCGAGCAATCCGATCCACTGCTTCGGTGATGACAGCATTCTACATGCAGGATTTCAGAGTGGCAAGTCGATCTCTGGCGATGAGCTGGTGAAAAGGATACTAGCAGCGACTTTCTATCTGACGAGAGACCTCGAGGTTATCACCGACCCATCCTAACCGTGTCGAACTTCGTACATCCAGAACTGGCCGATACGACCGCTGCTTTTTCCCTAGGGTCGTGGCTTTTTCCAGTTCAACTCAACTAACCTTAGGCAGATCAAAAATTGGTTTAACGCGGCTGCTTCAGTATAAAAAAACCTATTTCTACATATTTTGCTCACTCTAGGCTAGGTTTTCCAAACGTACTGGATTCCGCGCTAGTGATATTTCAATGAGAGCTCTTTGAAATCAGATGTAGTGAAAATATATGCACTTTCCATTTGCAGATTCTAAATGGACAAATTTCTCATTAACACTAACATTTAAAATATAACATTTTCTCGTCTTTATGTGTTTGTTTTCGATCATTTAAGACCATAACCGGAGCATTTCCATAATTTTCTAATCGCGAACTTTCATTTATTGACACATTAAATTCAAAAGCAGCGTAAAAATGCCCTAACGATATGGCAATTAAATTTCAAATTGTTATTGAAATCGGATTCAATAGCAGAGCCGAATAAGAAAAAACTATAATTTATGGATGACTGCGATCGTTACGGATATGCATTTCCTCCGCAAACTCCATTAGTACAACCAATTTTTTTTGCATTATCCTTTAGCGATAAGATTTACTTGTTCAACTTAAAACATAACAGATTTTGTGGATAGCGATATTATTCACATTTCAATTATATTCTCTCAAAGTTGGACAAAACAATGACGTGACGAAGATATTACGTTTCCAAGAAAATATTCTTCTTCTTTATAAATCGGATTTGAAAAAAAAAATAAAATGACGTTCTTATAGCAATTACTCACGTCATATCGAAAAAATTATTCGACGATAGTTTAAGGAGAGAGTCTGCAAGATGCTTCGCTAGTATATTTAAATCCTTTTCTTGGATTTTTCCATCCCATGCCGCGTAGGTTGATTTATTCCGTACAAACGCCGTTTCTAGGAACATCGGAGTGGGTTCAGTTCACAGTAGAAGACCTAGAGAGCCCCCAATATTCAAAATTAAACAAGATAGTAAGCCTGTGTTTTTTAATCCAAAGGTAACAACTTTATAAGCATAATGGCGGTCATTGAAACGTCTTATCAGATGAACGCTGAGCACTGCTTGCATTTATCACCAAGGAAGCGCAATGAGTAATGAATGACTATCCGTATTTTTACATTTCAGCCGATAAACGACACTGTTTCAGCTGCGTTTGAAAGTGGCTGACGCTACATTCAACCCAACGGTTTTAGGATGTTTGCTGATTCAGTCATTCAGCGCATAGTACGGCGCAAGCGCATGCATGTGTCGGGTTGTCAAGTTTGAAAGTTGTGCAGATAAGTTGAGGTTAAGTCCTTTCTATCGTTTAGAAAAAACATGGAAACTTGAGTCATTTATCAGCCCGTCACTAACGAAACTAATAAATCTCGTGACTGCACTATACCGCAATCGTGCTTCATAAGATGACAATAATTTCACATCGCCAAGTAGGGCAATTTCTCGGAGCACCGCCTACTAGCAATACCAGTAGAAACAATTTTATGTATCTATGCATATGCAACGAATGTTGTTGTTTTAATCTTGGCGCAGATGCAGCTTATTCATATTTGAATGTCAAATCAAATGTTACAAAAACGAACAAGGAGCTATGGCGAAACCGATGGAATGCATGCATCTGAATTACTTTATGACAAGTAAAAGTTTTTAGTCATCAAAGTAATGCTGTACTCTAGAGCGGTGACAGATCTTTTCCGTACGCTAAGACGGACTAAATGATGGAGCAAACAGGTCAATTTCATCCTTTATTTTATCTCCCTTTTCAAGATGTTTATATTCTCTACCAGATTCATTAGTTTGGCTTTGTGATCTGTTACCGCGCTGGTTTGCGTGGCGTCCTAAGGTTGGCACAGACACTCGTATAAATCATACTTTTTACTGGGTAGTCCCAGGAAGATGATAAGGTTTTCGAGCAGAGAGGACGGACGTTTTTGGGATGGGTAGTACTCTCCGCCTCCGTCTACGAGAGAGGTGGGGAGGGTGCCGTTTGACTCGTGAGATCCTAGCATTATTTTACCAGTTGTCGTTATGGAGCCTTGGACGGTGGAGCACCGCGTTTTCGCCTATGATTGT